TTGCCAGGGAAACCAAAACGGGAGCTCAGCAAGATGACGCTATCAGCGGGCGCCGCCACCCAGCGCCACCGGATTCGCTAAACGGCCTAAGAACAACTACTGTGGATTCCTAAGGATGGGGACGTAACCCGGGAGTCCTCAGACTGTGCGTCTCGTCACTATCACGACCTCGTACCATGCGTTGCTCTGTTCTATGCAGCTTTCCGACGCCTGTTCCGGGAAACTAAACTTTGAAATAGTTTAAGCATGGTAAACTCCATAGCTACGAGAGCTTTCCTGTGGCATTTGTGAGACTCGCGATTTGGCTTCATACTGTCACCCTATGGCCGGTGTTATTATTTTTGAAATAGCCTCATTGTGTAGCCCTGAACTCAACAAATATCTACCTGTCTCTCTGCCTCCCTAGTGTTGGGATTAAAGGCGTGTGCCAGCACACTTGGCCCAGAGGCGTTTTTAAATTCTTGCCGTTTGGGGTATTGCTGAAGTGTTTCCAAAGTTTTCATGTAGTCCACCCTGAATTCTATGAAGGTGGCGATTCTATCTTGTGCGGCAAGCCTATGGCAAATAGATATTTTTCAAGAGCCCCCACATTTTTGTTCACTCTCGGGAAAGGTGGTAATATTTCCCCCTAGTGAGACTCAATCCTCTAAATCCAATTCTCAAACTTCACTACAGCAACCCTGGATTCAGGAATGATGATGATCCAAGTTCAACAGTTGAGGATGCCATTCCCAAGGTATCTGATTGCTATTGTGACTCCGGCTCTCAATTTACTGATTCCATTTTGACTAAGATACAGACTACCATTTCCATGGAAGACTTTTCCAGTGTGGGAGAGAAGGCAACTTCATACATTTAAGTAAGATAAGAAAAGGAAAAGAAATGTTGACACAATGATGTCAAGGGGGAATGGCTCACTACAAGGCTAGGGACACACAGGACATAAAACACCAACAGGTAGAAAACAAGACTAGTATGGCATAGGACAACATGTTTTGAGAGGGATGCCCAGAGGTGACACAAAAAAGGATGAGTATACCTGGATGCTGCACATAAGCAAAGAGAAGAGGGCTGAAGACATGGCTCAGTGGTTAAGAGCATCGACTGCTCTTGCCCAGGTCCCAGGTCCAATTCCAAGCATCCACATACAGGTCAGCTTGTAACTGACTTATAACTCCATTTCCAGGGGATCTGACACTATTTTATGGCCTCTGCAGGTAGCAGGTGTGCATATGGTACACAGACATGCACTTGGGCAAAACTCACACAGACAAAATTTAAAACAAAAACCATAGAAAATGCCAAGTCTTTCAGAAGCTGGTCCAGTCACAATTGAGTTTAACCCCAAATTTTCAGTTTGGGACAAAATGTGCTTCAAGACCACCTACCTCAACTAAGCCTCAATGAGGGATGTTGACTAAAACAAACTTCTACCCTGGGCTGTAGAGATGGCTCTAAAGGGACAAGATACCCCAAGACAAAGTTCTCTAGAGGAAGAGGAAGGGTTATTTGTCTGTGGCAGGGGGAGAGGGGATGGGATGGGACACAGCACTAGGGACAAAGGATTGCCTCTGGTTAGAGACAGACATGGCCCATAGGAAATGGCACTTTATAAAGGCGAAAATGGGAATTCACCATATTGGGATGAGGTGTGCAATTTTAATTGGCATGTTAAAGGAGGCTTTTTATTGCTGGACCTTGGTAGTCAGCCTCAGGAGAAAGAGGCTAAACAAGGGAATAGACCTTGATGGCTAGCTTTAGGAATATAATCTAATGGTTTTTAGCAAGGAAGTGGGAATTGGGGAGAAGGGCAAGACCTGCCAGTCATATTTGCCATGCTTGGGCTGCCTAAAGTCCCTTCAAGCTCAATTAGGAAAGCGCCTACCACACATGCATGAAGATCTGGCATCAAACAAACACCTAGCATCCATGTACAAACCTGAGTGGGACAGAAACAGTGTGTAACCAAGTGCTGAGGATCAGGGTCTTGGGTTTGGAAACAGGCAAACCAGACCAGCCAAATATAAATTCCTAGCTTCAGTGAGGGATCCTGTCTGAAAAAAAGGGGGGGAGGGGTGAATGGGTCCATGGCTAAAGTGCCTGTTGCAAATGTAACTAGAGTTTGGATTCCCTGAACCCATGTGCCAAGCAGAGTGGCAGTTCCTATGACAAACTTTGGGTCTACACCTACATATATAATCACATGTGAACATATATACATTCCAGTACATACTACACATACATGAAGAGAAAGAAAAGGTGGAGAGCAACCAGGCAGGCACCTGAAGCCAATCTCTGGTCCCCACATAGATGTCCACCACCACCACCCGCAGGCAGAAACCCCTACTTATTCTATCTCAAAGAGCATCAGCTAAGTTGAGAGATATTGACTGGAAAGCTTCGGCCAACTAAACAGGATAGAGCTCTAAGAACCAACATTTCAGCCCTTGATGGAATTCACAAAAGAAGACCACGTTAGAAATAATAGGGCACAATAATCCTAGGAAAACGGGCAGTGGGATTTTCCTGAAGAATGAACTTCCTGAATTTTCTTAAGTTAAATGGGGCTGAGACACAAAACTGATATTCTTAAAAATGGGGACAGTGCGTCAGAAATGCATCCTACAAATAGACAACCAGGGACTTGGTCACTTGATATGACTGGCATTTATCTTTAAGCTCTACTCAAAGGTTTCTCTTTCACATGTACATTTCCATGTTAACACATAAGAAATATTTACACTCAGCACTTGCAGTAAACTTTCATTCTTCAAAGTGCAAATATCTTACATCTATAATGTTTACTTCAGTCATTTGCCACAGCGCCTATCTTTTCTTAAGATATCTAGAAAAAGGACCCACAATGGTCCCCAGAAGAAATCTGACTCCAGGTTGTCCCAAGGATGTGAACGATTGCATAAGGCCTCTGCTTTCAGGATCCAGATCTCTTGCTGCAGGAACTGAACGGTAGGCAAAATACTCCTTTCCTTTGTGAGGAGGGAAAAGATTCAAAGATATTTACATCTTTTTATTTTAAAAATAGATTCATAAAGTGCAAGATGAAATTATTTCTTTCCAGTGCTTCATATCCATCTTCGATAAGCTGTTGAAAACAGAAAGAAAAAAAAAATCAGTAACACACAATCTTTAACTTCAAATTACTGTACTGGGAAGGTAAACCACGAACAGCAAGAAAACGACAGCGCTGACGAAACGCAAGGCTCCTGACATTCACTTTTTGTATTCTATCTGGCTACCAACAACGTAAAAGACTTCGAATTGAAGTTTGCAAAAACATCAAAGCCACAGTACTACCCGGGGACCTAATAAAAATGAATTTGGGGGTTGGGGCGTGAAATACTTTACAGTTCCATCTCTCTTTTTCCCCCATTTTTTTCTGTCCAGTAGTCTCCATTTCGAAGTTAAATGTTAAGGTGCAACTGCATCGCACGTGGTAAAACATTCCCATTAAACACCCTCAGTTAAACTGAGTTGCAACACCGCAAGAGTAAGTAGAGAAGACAAAAACTATTTTTTCTCTGAGGTCTAGGAGCAAGCCACGTTCCTGCAAGCCGTGCAAAGGCGACCCGGGACTCTCCCGGGCGTGTGAGCGCCGACTCACCCAATCCGGGCCGCGTGGGGCTTGAGGAGTGACGACCCGGCGGGCTCGGGCCGCGGCGCGCGCTCAAGCCAGGTCCAGCTTCTTCTGAGTCATCGCCAGTTTGTCCTGAAGCCTCCGCTTCCTCCAGTCCAGGTAACGTCTCCGCAGCCGATTCGCCTGCCAGCCCAGGACCACTCCAGAGGCGAAAGCCACTAGCACTGAAACCTGAAGTGTCCTTTCAGACACGTCCGCCATTGCAGCCACCCAGAACGGAGAATAGACTACGGAATGGCGCAAGGATCAAATAGGGCAGTGCTCGCCCAGGACCGCTTGGAGCATGCGTGAGGCAAGGGAGCAGCGTCCTGTGGCTCTTCGGTCAGCGGAAAGTGACCAGTACAGGGTCTCACCATGCTGCAAGACTGTTTTGATGTCTGGATAGATAGGCTCCGTATTTCTTCCACATTTCTTGTTTGACATTAGTCGGGCATTGCCTTGCATCATAGATGAATTGGTGTCATCTATTCCTGTTCGTTTTTTTTTTTTTTTTTTTGCAGCTCAATAACTAAGCTTTCTGGTAACTTGATTTTAAAGTAATAAACGAATAGAGAAAAACTTTAATAATACATTTAAATGAACGTATGTAGACGAAATTTCCTTTAATACTACATTTTTGTTTATCGAAGTACCCAGCTTCCAAGTTAATGGCAATGCAATAACCACAGCTCTCATCTTAAAGGAAGTTCAGACTTTTTTCTTGAGCCATTATGAGTGACCATGGCCTGGGAACACAGATTTAGGTTACTCCGAACTCCATGTTCCAACGTGGAAGCAGTTTCATCAAGTTTTATAGTTTTACAGAACAAAGAAAGTCATAAATGAAGGCAAGTTTAAAATACAGTGGCAATTACAGTAAGATGGAGGCGGCTTTTCTATAGACCTAAGAAAGCACATGTTTGAATCATTGCCTTGACTGATACAATCCAGGACAGAATGGTTTGTTTTGTTTTCAAAAATAAATACCTATTTGGGATCTCCCCCAGTGCACATTCACTTACCTTTTTATAGCAAGGCAAGTGTGAAACCAATTGTGTGTCATTAATAGAGGGTTACTATACAGTTGGATAATACAGATGTAAATTTGGGCAAGAAAACCAAGAGTGTCAATAGATATTTGCATAATTTAAAATAGCCACATCAAGAGAGTATCATGAAGTTTAACTGGAAGGGTTCCCACTGAAACAGAGTGTCCAGTAGCACTTCACCGTTATTTAACATCATTTTCAAGGTAGTAACCGTTAACACAAAGACACAGAAAAAGCAGAAATGATACACACTGCTTTCATAAAGATAGTAACATGGTGCTAGGTGGTGGCAGAGGCATGTGGGTCTCTAAGTTCCAGGCCAGCTAGGGCAACACAGAGGGCAACCCTATTTTGAAAAAAAAATAAAAAACCAAAACCAAAACAAAAAGCTACAAAACCAATTCCCCCCAAAACAAAAAGATAGTAATAGGGAAACTTCAAAGAGTCTACTGAAATCAACAGGCTTCATAATATTCAAACTACCAGCTAACTACAGGGGAGGGGCTGATTTAAAATGCACAACCAGGAAATATAATCCTAAATGTTTAAGTTAGTACTAGTTTTTGAAAAAAACAATATTGGAGCCGGGAAGAGGTGGCACATGCCTTTAATCTCAGCACTTGGGGAGCAGAGGCAGGTGGATCTCTGTAAGTTTGAGGCCAGTGTGGTCTACAGAGTGAGTTCCAGGATAGCCTCTCTACTACTACACAGAGAAACCCTGTCTCTAAAAACAGTAACAAAATGAACAAACAAAAAACAAAACAAAAACAAAATAAGAAAAGAAAAAAATAAAGAACATTTTTCAGATGAGGGTAACATTTTAAGACATAGAAGTCAAAGGCCATTTAAGACCATAAATCAGTCTAGGAAGCAGAATTCTAACTTCTTCACAGAAGTAGAAATCTTTATACTAGTCAAAAACAGATGTCAATTTGGGATAAATAATTTGAAGTTATATACAAATCTTACAGAATAAAGAGGACATATAGAAAATGGACTAATAGGCTTCACTAAAAAAGAACACATGCCTACCCCTCCCCCCCCACAAAGTGGATATATTTGGCCTAATCTATAAGAGAAATACTGCCAAACCAACAAGTGAAAAGCCTGATGTACGTGGTAATGGCACAGGAACAAGGCCTTGTGGACCCTGGCATAAGCACCATGGTAGCTAGTTGCAGATACTCCCAGCATTTGGGAGGCAGAGGCAGGAGGATCTCTATGAGCTCCATGCCAGACAGGGCTACCTAAGGAGGCCCTATCTTAAACCAAAAGCAAAGCAAAGCAAAACCAAAAGAACAACAACAACAAAACATGGACATAGACAAAAACTCTCTGAATAGAACTCCATTAGCATACAAAAGGAAACTTCAGCAGAGTGAAGAGACAGCTTACACAATGAGGGGAAAACTTTCCCAGCTATGTTTCAGACAGGGAAGAATATATAAGATATTCAAAGTACGGTTAAAATCAAATGCTCTCTCACACACAATCTGCCAGTCAATAAATGGGCCAAAGTGAATGTTCCTAGAAGAAACAATGGCCTTTAAGTACCCAAAAGAGAGCATCCAATATTCTTACCTATGAGGGAAATGCCACCCAAAACTACTTTGAGTCTCTCACCCTCATCAGAACAGCTATCACTAATGAGAGACAAAAATGCTAGTGAGGATGTGGAAAAAGAATCCTTTATTCTTTGCTGGTTGAAATGTGTCCTCTTACGGGCATTGTGGCAGTTCTCAAAAAAGTGAAAACACAACTGTTTATGACCTAACTGTACCACTCTTGGGTATACAAAGGATTCTATCTTCTACCAGAGAAATCCAAACATCCATATTGATTGCCCTTCTATTCACAATATCAAGGAAATGGAACCAGCCTAGATGTCTATCATCCGATGGATGTGTAATGAGAATGTGGTATCATACAGAAGAGAATTCTATTCAGATATACATCATGAAATTTGTATGAAAATAGATGGAGTTAGAAAGCCTAAGTAACTCAGAGTCAGAAAAACACAAAATGTGCTTTCTCTCATATGCAGACCCTAACTTAAAATGTTTATCATATAAGTGGGGTCAACAGTAACTGTAGGCTATGAAACTAAAAAGACCTTGAGAAGGAAAAAAAAGATGTTGAGGGAGGAGAAAGGGACATGGACAGATGAAATATGAAAGCAGAAAGTAAGCAATGGGGGAGGGTGTGTTATATAAAGGGGTCAGAAGGATAGGGAAGAAAATTCAACAAAAAACTAATTTTGTCTGAAAGTACCATAATGAAACCTAACCCTACCTATGCTAATTAAAGATGAATTTTAAGTACTTTTGGTCTACTTTGGACTTAAATAGGTCTGTATTAGAAAGGTGATTTCTAGAAAGCATTTAAACTTGAATCATTCTCAATGAAAACTTGTATACAAAGAGCAGCCCAACTAATTAGCCTGCTTCACATGGGTCTCCTTACTTTGTCAATTTTGTTAGAATATTTATAGCAACTAGGTCACATGGGTGTATCTTATGGGCTTTATTTTTTAACATACATAAATAAAAGTGTGAAAAAAATAGGATTCAAAGTGGGAGGGAGTTTAAATTTACAAAGTGTTTTTTTGGATAAGGTCCAAATCCATATTTTATTTTCTCATCCGCTTATATTCTGAGAGCAGCACAATTAGCCTATTACGAAGGGTCTTAATCTTGTTGGAATACTGTTGTTCAAATACTGTCTTCATTTTTTGTCTCAACAAATCCAAAGATGGAAGATGATGACAATCCGGGATATTCAACATGATGTGAAAGAATTCCTCCCACATATCCAAATGAGGAAGCCTGACAAGACAAAATATCACAATGAAAAACAGGCAACCTTCAGTATCCACAGCAACCTGTTCCTGCATCTATTTTCCACAGGCATGGACATGTCAAAAGAACAGCTCTCACCCATTTGCATCTTAACCAAGAATCCATCACAAACAGGAGGAACTAAAAATCCAAATATACTTTGTTCTAAAAACACGATTTAAAATAATCTTTTAGCAATAGATCTTCAGTAGAAGTACTATCTTTTAAAGAAAATCTGTCTTCTTTTGGCTTCCTGTGTACTGCCAGAATCTGATGATATAGTTACTTGGTTCTGATAAGCCTAACTGCATATATGGCAAGATATCTGGACAGACAGGCTGCACTCTTTAGTATAGAGCTCACACTTAAGGGGGCTTAACCACTTATAGTGGTTAAAGTTAACTGAAATAAACTCCAAAAACAGGGAGAAAAAGCAGAACAAACTAAAATGTCACACTAGATGGAAACTGAGAAGGAAGCTTTGGGCTTTTTTCTATGCTACTGACAAGAGATGGAAACCTTCTGAACCTTCTGGTCCTTTGATAACAAGCATGGGAAACAATAAAGCAAATAAAGTACTTGCTGAATTTGATGGCTCTGTACAGAATAAAAAACAACTGTTGTAAGTTTTCTTTTGGGTTCTGAATCTACTCTACATGATTTGTATAAAATTTATGCAAACTCTTTCCCTTTTCTGCTTTGTTAGTGGTGGGGAGAATGAGGGGAACCTCAGCCTAAATTTTCTCAAGAATGAATCAACATGTAAAATTCCATTAGACTAACACATAAATGATTTTTTAATGTATACATTTTTATATCTTAGAAAAGTTAACGATATATGGAAATATGCATGCATAGAATAATCAGCTTCAATTCAATACCACCAGTGGTACATTTACAGATTGTTACTTTAGGGACGATGTTGACATTATAAGCTCCAAACCAAATATTAACCTTTAAATATTTTATAAAGTAAAGTCACACAGGGCTGGAGCTTGAAACCCTGTCTTGTAATAGAAGGGTTTCATTCTATTTATAATTTATAAAACAGCTTCACCTATATTATTTTCTTTGCTTATAAGATTTGAGCAAAGCAGAATCATCATCATTCACATTTACATAAACAAGAAAACAAGCAAACAAAACCCCAAGGCTTACCAACATTGACTTCACTTACAATAAAGAGAAACAGTCAAAAACAGGATCTAACCTACATGGCCAGGGGCTCTCAATGGTTTCATGAGGCACTGAATACCAGATTTGCTCAGTGCGTAATGTCAGGACTATGCTATTACCACACTGCCCAAGCTCATTTTCTGGCTAGGTAAACTCTACTATTTTGCTGTTATTTTTTTTTTCTTTTTTTATTGTAGCACCAATGTTAGTAACCTACCTTCTAAAAAGACCTTCAGGTTTCCAGACTCCTCCTTCATTTTTTACTTTCATGTAAGTCCCAAAGAGCATACAGTATATTGTTGCAGTAACTCCATAGTAATCAATCTATGAAGAAAACAAGTATGTGCAATGTAAACAGTAATTTGCATGTGAGTATATCAAAATATGTCTCCACTGCAGAGTTTTACATTTACAGAATTCTGAAATCCAATGATTTGCTTCACTGAGTGCCTATCCAAGTGAAGTTTCTCTGAACACAAAACACTATTGCCTCTGAGCTGAAGAAACTCTTTGAGAAGCTCAGTCTTCATTTAAATAATGTCTTCTTCAAGTCCTCTATCCTTTCACTTGGTGAAAACACAATAATCTCTCAGCTTGGCAGTTCCTCCAATTCCATTCCCTGGGACTCTGGTGGTTATTGTATAATTGCACATCAATGCCTCTGTGTGATGTGTTCATTATAGAAAAGTACATTCTAGCATAGTCCAAATCTGTAGGATAGCAAACTACCTACAATCCACTTCAGATAAGCATTCATCTACCTAAAGCCTCACTGGGAGTAACTGACTAAATAGAAGGCCCCTTTATCATTCATGGTCTTCTGGAAGCCACAGCTGTTAGCTGGAAACTGGGCAGCTTAGGCTCAAAACCTTTACATGTATCCTAATTAGCAGTACGTTCTTTACTTGCTAATGAAAACTCTGAAACTTTCTCACAGAATGTATTTGCTTTTCTGCTCTGTTGACAGAATCTCTCCTAAGAGAGGAAGACTCTTCAAAAGTAGAATTGCTTCTTCCTATTCAGCCTTACATTCCACCTTTCTTTCAATGTCCAAGAGACCAGTCCAAACTACCCGGAGCTCTAAACTCATTTTGAAAGTCTGGTAAGTGTAATAAAGAAAATGACTTCAAACCTCTCGCTTTCTTTCCATACCTGGTAGTTCCATGGCTTGTTACTGAGCATCTCAGGGCACTGAAAACCAGATGTTTCACATTTTCCTGTAAATGCAGTTCCTTTAGGGAAAAGTTTCATATCTATACTCTGACCCAGGTCAATCAGTGCCAAGCCAGTAGCTAAATCTTCACCATCCTGTTCCAAAAACCTACATTAAATACAAACAAGGGCCAGGATCCATGAGCACAAATAACAAAAGGATACCAGTGAAATGTTAGGGAAGAACTCCACTCAAGTGTCATACTTACCTGTGGCCTAGTATGAAGTTATCTGGCTTAATGTCTCCATGAATGATTTCACAGCTGTGGACTTGTTCAATTATGTAAAGCATTCTGATAGCAAAAATGATGACGAGAGCCTGGGGCATCACTTTTTCAGGGGTATTTTTATAGAGGTTAATGGCATTCTAGAAATAATGCAAATGGTATCCTAAGTTGGTAGTAAAGGATTAATGACATTTCAAATCAAGGGCTTTATACCTGCTTTCTATTCCAACAAAAGTTCCAATTGTGAAAAATAGTGCAGGTTAAAAACCAGAAATGCCCATGCATTCATTTCATGTTCACGTCATGACAATCAGACACTTACTAGTATCGTCCCATAGCTGTAGAGCTCCCCTACTAATATGCTCCCATTCTGGAATAAATGAGCAGAATAAAACTTGATGATCATGTGATGCACTGCTGGCTTTAGTCTCGCCATCAGCTGTGTCCCAATGTAGAATTCCCAAGAATTGGCAGGTCTCTGAACCTGCAAATCAAATAAGGACATGTGACACGTGTATCCTTATCCATATTCTGTAAAATAGCTAGAAAGCATCTCCTCCCAGTTAAGGATATGGACAAAGAGTGAGGACAAGCTAAGCACTAGTCAGCAGTATAGGGCTTGTAGGATAATCTTAGTGGTAAGACAATTCTGAGTCTTCACAGGACAGCTGTATTAAATTATTGACTAAGGCCTCATTGACATCAGTATTTAAAGGCGAGGGGGCATGGGAAGATAACTTCTAAAATTCACATCTACATTATACAAGAACTTATATATCACTTACCTTTAATATACATTTCTGTTTACTTTTGGTATCATTCACATCACCATGAATAGCTTCATAGACTTGGGCAAAAGCCCCTTCTCCAAGAAGGTGATTCACATAGACCAGCAAAGAACCTTGGAAGACAAGCATCTCAAATTGACAAAAAGCCGTAAGGACTATCAAAGTGAGGAATTCCTGGTACCTGAACTGCTTTAATACATTAAAATGGGTATAACCTGGGGAACTTTTTGCAGACTTAAATGAAAGTAAAACATATACCTGCCATGAAAGAGCCTTAATAAATTATTTTTAAAAAAGGGGTGAGGGCAGCTCTGATGACCCAGTATATGGATATGTGTGGCCTTGGGTCCTGGCCCTTCCATTACCTGTGGTGCCTGCTCTGAACAACTGTTGAGGTATTAGGAAGACTATCTAGAAATCAGTAAAGTTTTTTGGAAAATGTACATGTTTTATAGGAGAAAAACACAAAACAAAAACATTTTTACAGGAGAATTTAAAAAAGGCAAAGCATAACTGTATTAATATTTGTAATAGTTTAGAATGGTTAGGCCAATTTTATATTTCAGGAGTTTTTGATTTAGGTGGTTGTGAGCTGCCCATCATGGGCACTAGAACCCCAAACTGAGGTCTGAAAGTACTTTTTTTTTTTTTTTTTTTGGTGATGGTGTTCAAGACAGTGTTTCTCTGTGTAACAATCTGGCTGTCCTGGAACTTGCTTTGTAGATCAGGTTGGCCTCAAAATCACAAACATTCACCTACCTCTGCCTCCTGAGTGCTGGGATTAAGGGTATGTGCCACCACAGTGGCTCTGAAAGAGCTTTTAACCTTTGAGCCATCTTTCCAGCCCGGAGTACATGTATTTTTAACTCTGATAGATTACTGCCAAATTAAAGTCCCAACAGCAATTACAATTCTATTATCACAGCTTAATAAAATTTCTCAATACTATAGATATTAACTCTTTCTTAAAGGTGAAAAGGATAGGAGAATATCAGAGTTACTGTCTGTTTTTCACAAACAAGAATTCAAAGTTCTATTATCCATATAATTCTTACCCAGTTGGAATTCTGTCTTGGGCTTGATGGCTGGAAGTTTACACTGCCACTCAAAAGTATTTGAATAGGAACTCACTGGTTTAGGAAGCCCAGAGAGAAGTTTAACAATCAATTCATCATCCCATGGGTTCTCAATAGTAAAGTCTTAAATAGGAAAAATAAAAAGGAAACAAATTCAGCATTCAAATATTTTAATGTAAATTTTAGATAAATAAGTAAAAGTATTCATTAAATAAACTTTCAAAATCTTACCCTATGTAGAGCATTGGTCCAATAATAACAGAAGCTAAAATTGGTAGTTCTGTCATTATTATCACTTTAGGTCTACAAATTTGGGTGAATATCCAGTTCCAACAAAGGGAATCAACTAGCTACTTCCTGACTCATCTGGAGTTGCAGGATTTGTGCCTTCAAAAATTATAGCTGCATATCTTGAAGTACACTTGCATATTATTAGTTAGTTGCTTCTAGTGTGCTCAGACATACCCTTTCACTGTTTCCACCACCAGGATACACAAAGCACATGACCTATATACAATTTGCATGAATGAGAATACTGTGTACACAAAAGGAAAAACAATTCCTAAAGGAGAACAAAGCCTTCTCTCCAATTTCATATTATAAAATACTCTATCACTGGTGGTTTGAAAAGGCTACTCTCCAACACGGCTACTACTTTCTTAGCATATACAGAACATAGTTCTGAGACTTATTAACTCATTTAGTTCTTACAGTAATCCGCTAAGGTAGTTACTAGTATAATCTGCACTTTAAGATACATTTGTTTATTTTTGGGGGGTGAGGTGGGGTGGGGTTTCAAGACAGGGTTTCTCTGTGTAACAGTCCTAGCTGTCCTGGAACTTGCTTTGTAGATGAGGCTGGCCCCAAACTCACCAAGTTCTGCCTGCCTCTGCCTCCCAAGTGCTGGGATTAAATATGTGTACCACCATCGTCTGGGCTAGTTTAATTTTTTAAAGTGTACAGATTGTTTTGCCTGATGTGTATATTTGGGAAGGCATAGGATTCCCTAACAATTGTGAGACAGCATGTGGGTGCTGGCCAGTGAACCTGGGTCTTCTGAAGAGCAGCCAGTGCTCTTAACCTGAATTATCTCTCCAGCTGACTTCTATTTTAAAGAGAAGCACCATAAACTTAGTTGGGGAGCTGGGAGTCGGAGCCTTGCCTTAGAATTTAGTCTGTCTCCAGATTCAATGTTCTCAATCACCATGTAAGACTTTCTATTATGACAAGGGACAGAGGAAGACATCTTGTAATATTCGGTCTTGACCTATCTGTTACATACAGGGGTGAGGGTAATATTAGATTATATGTTTGACACATAGTAAACTCTCAACTTTGAACTCTTTAAAAAAAAAATTTTTTTTTTAAAGATTTTTTGCTTTATGTGTATTCATGTTTGCATGCATGTGTGTATGTGCACTATGTGTGTGCCTGGTGCCCAGAGAGATCACAAGAGGGTTTCAGATTCCCTGGAACTGGAATTATAGATGGTTTTGAGTAATCATGTGGGTGCTGAAAACCAAACCTGGGTCTTCTTGAAGAGCAGTCAATAGTTCTCTTAACCAAAGAGCTTTCTCTCTAGGCTCCTAATTCCTTTTTCTAAACATAGCAATCTCAGTGTCTTTCAAGATTAAAATGGATTTCAAATGTGTTAGTAGTGAATTATTTTGGGATGCAGCTACAAGTTTGTGTAAGTCTATTTTCTATTTAGTGTATTTAAGTCCTACTCTGAGTTCTTTTATGGAATAGCTTTTCTATGCTATTGTTCTCATGGCACAATTGAGATGAGCATGTGTGCATACTTGGAGCATTGACATTCCCAAGTGAACTAGTCTGCATCCATTCAACTTGGAGTCCAGCGCTGGCATCTGGTATGTCCTCCATGGTCACAAGGTCAGTGCTTGTGCATTTATAAGCCTCAAAGCCGAACACTGCTTCCTGGAGTATACCACCTGTGGCAGGCTGGCTAGGATAGTGTAAAGACGCTGAAAATTTGTCTCGAATTGGACTGGATGTGTGAAAAAGAGAAAACAAAAACTTCATGTGTTTAGAAGCTTATAAAACTTGATAAAAATAAAATAGCTTCCTTTCATTCTAAGAATAGCATTTCAAAATTATCTCATAGGTTGAATTGATCAAATAACTTTCATTAAACAAGTATGTGTAAATACTTAAGCTACTAAGATATGAATATGAACAGAAATAAAACCAGAGTCATTTACTGTATTAGGTAAACCGGTAAGGCGATATATTTTGTACTTAATAGCAACTGTGGGAAGGAATGAGTTTATTCTCTAAAGCTACATCTAAATAGCTTACTGTAATCAAGACTGAGTATTTTTCTTATTCATATATTTGTGAATTTCACCTATGGGCTAAATTGGTAAAATCTAGATTAATACTTATGTGATTTTTCTGTCATTCACAGTCTTATAGAACAATGAAAAATTGTCAGTAAAAATACATATTCCTGGGTCAGGCCAAATAAAGTGATAATCACCTTATTACTTCAGCTCTCAGCTGTCTTTGTGTGTGTGTGTGTCATATGGAATTAATGTGCTTTTAATCAAAATTCCACAAATTAGAAGCTCTGTGACTTTAGACCAGCAATATGTTCCCAAGACCGGATTTCCTCATTTGTAGTAAGGGTTTAACAGAATACTGTCATAACTCAAGTTATTGCAAGGATTAAGCACACACAGCACACAGAAAGCATAAATATCATTCCTGGGTAATAATGTATGTATCTGTTACATGCACCAGCCTAATCAAATACAATGGAATTTTACTTTTGCAGCAGTACCTAAAGAAACTTAAACATCTACCTTCTCTTAAAAGACCCTGGTTTTCTCAATTAAACGGGTGTGTAAAGCACAAATTTGCATTTTCTCAGTTTTGCAATAGTTGACCCATCAAAAGAGGATACAGTTTGAATCTTGGAATGAATTTCAGAAAAAATGAGCTCAGGGATCTGTTTCTCAAGCTGCTTCTCTGACTACCCTAATACACCAAGTGTTTAGGTTCATCACTGCATTTACATTAACAAATAGTACCTTCCAACTTAAAGCTACCACTTTATTATTAGCCTTAGCCCATTAGAATACGATATACTACTGTATCTTAAAGAACAATGGAGGAAGAGAGTGACAAACACATTACCCAAGCTTTCTGTCTTTTGAGAGGTCCACCATATTTTCTTTACAAGAATCCAAAGCCACATGAGTATACTGTGTGGCTACCATGTTTTCTGAAATATAAAAAAATTATAGACAGACATATTACATATACATATAGACACAAACAGCATTTGATATGGTTACAAAGGCTGGAACTCCTCTTCATACTGACTTTCACTACAACTTTAAAATAGTGTTCCACAGTAAAAAGTGCTATGGTTGAAAAAAGAATTATTCAGGGTTCAAAGAATAAATAGCAGATCCACTATAGGCAGGATGACCAGACCACAGGAAGTCACTGGCATTGGGGCAGGGTATACCTAGTTTCAGAAGAATCTGCTATGAGGACACAGAGGGAGAATAAAAAGCTGCAACCCTTCCAGAGGGCTTTAGTTAGGGATATGTGTGACTTTCAGTTTAATAAACTAATGAGTCAGCATTTAGTTGACTGAATGGATTTAGATACTGGCAGTACTTAAATCACTGTCCCTTCTAACCTAAAAAAACAAAACAATTCATCTTTATTGACAGTAGATGGGGCAGAATTATAGAGTAAACTTTACCAAGTGGTTTAGTACTATGTAATACTATAGCCAAGTGTTATACTGGATTAACTTTTATCTGATGGTTGCTTATAAACAAGTACAAATACTTATTAGTACTAGAACATATAAAACCACAGAGGCAAATACTCTAAGAACAGTAACTATTGGCCCTTTGAAGACCATTTTATGAATTAGTTTTTCTCAATTTGAAGAACATAAAAAAAATTTATTTGAGTGGCAAACTTGTGATGGCACTTAAAAATAGTTCAAGTGTAAAATATCTTCTCTAAGATTTAGAAAAGGAATAAAATAAAACAAAACAAAAAAAGGGACTAAAACATACTGGGTTAGTACTTTTAAGAAAATATCCTTATTCCTTAGTCAATGTTTAGGCTTTTAGGCTTATAATCCCATTAGAATATCTTCCATCTAGTGAAGTAAAATTCTCTAGCAGTTATTTAATTACTTTTTTAAATATTATGTTTATTTGTATGTGTGCTCAAGTGAGTGCATTCCATAGCATATGTATGGAGGTCAGAGGACAACTTGCAAGAGTCATTCTCTCTTCTTACCATGTGAGTCCTAGAGCTCAAGCTCAGATCAGGCTTGACAGCAAGCACTTTAACCTGATGAGTACCAAGTCAATACCTTCAGCATTCTTTCTAAAAAGCCCTGATAGTGATAGAATTTAGCTAATAAACTGTCAGTTATCCAAATGGCATAATGCTTCCAGATATCACAGTTTATACCTTTTATATTGGAAATTAGTACCTAATATCTGTGTTCAATGCAGTGACAGTAGAGTTAAATTCAAACATAGATGATTTACATAGTTTTAAAATTACTTATGTGCATCGTTGTTTTACTTGTACATTGTATCTGTGCTTCTCTGTGCAAACAGTATCTGCAGAGGCCACAAGAGTCTATCAGATTCCCTGGAACTGGAGTTAAAGATTGCTGGGAGCTTCCATGTGGACCCTGGAAACCAAACCCTGGATGACTGAGCAGCCAGTGTTCATTAACTGTTGAGCTATCTACAGCTCACACATGTATATCTCTTATATAAAGGTTACATTAGGCAGAAGGTTGAAAAGAGGACTAATAGGAGCTTTATAATTCCTCTCTTGAAAATCAGATAAAAATGTTAAAATGTGATTTTTCTTTGCACAGTATACTTGTCCATATGTATAAAGTGGTAAATATTGACGATAGATCCATCATGGACAAAAACTGTCTATTTATTACTTATTAATATATGTTCATTGTTTCTAATATTTAAATAACTTAATCTTTTTGTGGTAGCCCTTTCTTTGCTATCACAATACAACATACTCCTGTTGGATATAACGTTTAAGTGACTGTTCAGGTTTTTCCACTCTCTACCTATTTATTAAAATTTAAAAATATAAACTATGAAGACAGAATGTAAAAAAAAAAAAAAACCAGCAGAAACAAAAACAAAACCATGCATATACACATAAGTGGATTTTAAGCTTTTGTACAGTTTTTAAACTTCCTCTTTAGAATTTTCAAGAAACCATAATACTAAACAGTTTATTTTTTGCAGAAGATACTAAAATAATTGAACACACACCTTTATCTTCTGGAATCTGCACTGAATCTGCTGGAAATTTGTGGAATGGTGTAGACGAAAGCTGGGCAGCAGATGTAAAATCTCCTGTACTTTTAGAACAGGGAGCTAGGGTTTTATTGTATCGAATACCACATACTATTGATTCATCCACACACTCATCAGTGTGAGGCACTTCCTACAACAGAATATGAATTGAAAAAAGCAATTTATTTGCCTGCTTTGTTGATGAAATTGAACCAATCAACACTTTAAGTCAGCAGTTAGCATAGTCCTGAGTACAAACTACTCAGGAAGGTGAGTATGTAAAGAGGTTCACTTGAACTTAGGAGCTCAAAATCATCCTGAACAACACAGCAAGCTCCTGTCCCAACAAAACAAAACAAAACCCCAAACATTTTAAAATTGGAAAAAAGAGGACTTAAAGAAACATAGATATAAACCTCTTCATTTTAGCATTCTTCAACAGAGCCACACAACAATTAAACATGTTTTTATTCTTTAAATTTGAAAAGAATTATAAAGATCGTAAAGAGCTGTTCTCCTTCATTACTTTCCCTCTAATGGTAATCTTGTCTAAACTGTAGTTTATTGTAAAAACAAAACAAAAACCAATGATACTAGTAAATGGAGCCCTTATTTGATTTCTCTATTTCTTCCCCAACTTCCAACATAGGTCAGCACATTGCACATGGCTGTCCTGTCCACTCAGCTGTTCTGAAGATAGCCACCTATGGATCCTTCCTACCCTTTATTGCATTGATTCTTTTGGATAGAGGTCAGGATCTGTGATTGTGCCACTAGTTTAGGCTTTTATACTAGGGCTATCTATTTTAGAGAGTATTCAGGGATTATCTCATTAAACTTTGGGAATATGTGTCATAAACACAAGTTATTTCTGGTGAAGTTAACCCAATCACTTAGTCAGGTACACCTGAGGTTTTCTTCATGAATTGCTTTTCCTCTCCCCACTGTCTTTTTTTGATGAAAATCACCATGACCTGCCTATACTGAAAGGGAAATAAAGTAAACCCTATCTTCCAAAGGGCATCATCAAAGAACTAGTGGAGAAATATTACATTTACTTATTTGTGAGTGTGTGTACTTGGTACACACATGTATTACCAGCTCACATGTGGATGTCAGAGAACAACTGTGGGAGTCAATTCTTTTTCTAACACATGGGTCCCAGTGATCAAACTTGGTTCTTTCAGGCTAGTGGAAAATGACTTTACCTGCTGAGCCATCTCATTGGCCCTCTTGGAGAAATGTTAAACCAGTACAGTAATTGGTAATTTTGAAAAGATGCTTGTAAGCTATGCACACACTGTTTCTTCTCAGTGACACTAGTAATCATCCATTGGCCTTGCCTATAGCAGTTATTATCTTAGTGTTCTAACAGTAACCTACATTCCTTGGAGTGCTTCTGTAAGGTAGATTTGTCCTCTCTACCCTATTGTATAAATATGGATATTCATTTTATTTTTGGGGTTATAATTTAATATTACCTTACTTATTTTCTCTTTCAAAAAGTCTCAGGTTTGATCACTGACTTCTTCAAGTTGGTTCCTGTGCCACCCACCCCACTTTACAAAAGCAAAAAACCAAAACAATTACATCTTTAATTTCTGGCATAGGAGACCCCAGGCTCATCTTCTGTTTACCCTGACACGGTCTATAGAACCAGACATTTCTTTAAGAACATAATTATAGGATAAGTTTTAGAATCTGTGGGGAAAGAGAACTAAAGTTTCATCAGAACTAAACTTGATAAATCATTGCAGTTCTTAAAATACCACATATACTTTTTGCACATCACCTTTTTTTTTTTTTTTTTTTTTTAAATTCCACCACACCTTCCTGTATTGAAGGGAAAACAGAGACAGTTTCTGCTCAGCACCAGCATATATAGAAAGTACACCTTTTTTTGTTTGTTTATAGTAACACTAAATCTAAAATCCAGTCCATTATTCTGGAAAATTGTAAGGCTAAGCATATCATCAAAAGATTGAAAAACACAGCAAGTTAATTCAAAAGAACCTTAAAACAGAGAGTTAGGGTTCAGTAGCATGTCTCAGAAAGGGTAAATTAACAGCAAGGAATCCTTAACTGGTGTACCACTGTCACAGGGGCATGTGGGCATAGACTAAAAAGCATACTTGGGGACTACTCTGGGCCCTGGTGAAAGTCTAGATACAATGGCTGTTAACAGACAAGAACACTGGGGGCCAATGAATGGGTGAAGCTTGGGTGCTGTGGTGTACTGTTAATCTAGTTTCTTCAATTTTCTGGGTTTCTCATTAATATCCCCCTGTAGTTCTCAATTCTTATGTCTAAGCTACTCCTGGGTAGCACCCTCAAGCTAAAGGAATGACTCTCCAAAGTTAAGGATCACATAATTATTTTTATTTTCTCTACTTACTATAGAATTAATTTTTGTTGGTGAATACATTTTTCATGCAACATTGGATTTTTCTAGGAGTTGTATATACCTTATGCCATTTGATGAGCATAACCATTTGGTAAAATTAAGAACAGATCCTAACATCCATTTCACTGATAAAGCAGAGATTTACTTACATTTGGTGTTGACGGAAATTTGCTGACAGAGCGTTCTCCAAAGGTTCTGGCTCCTGTGGGCTTATTTTTAGGCTGTGGTAAGCTAAAGAAAGATTTGTATAATTACAAATCATAGAACATACAGATGAGATAAATAAGCTTAAAGTGTTAGAAAAATTTGTCACTTCTCCTACATAATGAATTAATGAGTGTTACAGAGATTCCTTACTTTCACAGCAGCTATAGCAAAACTGGGTCTAAACTAAATTAACTGTAAATAGAAGATATTTTTATTAGACTGGGTTCCAAATTTTAGAAGCAAATGAAAACAAGGACCTTGACCAGTAGGATGTCCTGGGTATCAGGTAACATTTTAAGTCTTATTTATAGTGCCTGCTCTGGATATGGATATCATTTCTGCAAGCTGGTCATGTTGTCTCATTTCTACCTCAGCAAGAAGTTCCTCCATGCCAAGATACCTATAACTCACATAGCTTCATTTGTTTTAAATAACAGTGACGATTCCTGAAAACATCTCATTCTATGCCCTGATGTCTCACTGATGGGTTGTTGTTCTACCTTAAAATATTTTCTCTGTCGTTATTACTCAACATAAGCCATTTTCTGTTCTACTTTATCTGCCCTGCACTATATAGATGCACAGGCAGATTCATCCACATCTAATACAATTTCAACACCAGAGAATCCATCTGTTCTCTGACAACTTATAACTAGACTGCATTTCTTTTTCAGCTGTGCTTCTGCTACAGGAGGTCTGTTGTCTTGGAACTCATGCATAGCACATAAGAGACTCATTGGTGGCATCACTGGAACTCCAACCTAGACCACCCTATCTCCTTACTGCTGAACAACGTTCAACTCCTAAAGGCCTCTCTGCAGCATCTTATGGCACTTGCTGACATGTATTTCCCTTCTCCCCGCCCACCGAGTTTATTTTAAATAGACTTCTCTTTACCCATAATTTTCTTTGTTTCCATCTTCAAAAATAGAAAAAGCAGATGACAAAGACATGATCTTATGATCTCCCCAAGCTCCAGAAGATACTGCATTTTCTGCAAGAAAATAAAAAATAGCATCTCATTCCTAGCTTGTGAAAAGGCATTATCCTTTAGCAACTTCAGCTACATATAAGAAAAAGTACTAAAATTTTTAAAAAATTAATAGGTCCTAGGTAACGACCTAAGCTACTTTGCAGTGAGGTGAAGTGACGGATTCATGGTCACTGAACCTAGCAGTCAGGGCCCAGTGGAGATCCTGTCACATACAGAGCAGTGTCCGCCCTCCTATAATGGTGCTACAGAGCTCACTCAACAAAAGCACACAAAACAAAAGTTGTGGGGTTTTTCTGTTGTTGTTCATGTCATTTAAGAAAAAAATTAATGTTTGAGTGTTAATTTCCAGTCTTCCCAATTTTAACTAGACTCTACTTATCTTTGTCAAGATTTTTGGCTTCCAGCATGCTGGGCTCCAAACTCCACCTAGATGTCTTTTTCAGGAGTTGCTTAAGTCTCATGTTGAAAACTTACTTTCCTGACTGTTCCTACCCATGATGCTTTTGTCCTTTAGCACTCACTATTAAATAGTAACAAAAATATCCAACTTAACAAAAAAAGTCAAACCAGTTTCACACATAATGCAACCCTTTCAAAGCATCATACGTGAAATTTATTCATTCCCTGCTCTTACACGGCACACTATTCAAAGGCAGGGCCACATCTAAATCTAGATAATGCCTATAGCAACTTCCAATGATACTGTATACTTAATAGTTTTTAGATAAATCATTACTTTGAAACTGGGCTTCAAATGCATCTTCATTTTGATCTAGAGAAGAGCAATCATTGTTATCATCCGAAATGTCAGGAAGTGTTGGAGCTTGAAACATATTCATGATGAAACCTTATAAAACAGAAAAAAACATATGTCAACAGGTTGCAAATCAGTTTTTATTAATTTGCTAGAGGAAATATGCACACAAACAAAATACTTTACCTAATGCTTCCTTGGTGTGCACAGTTGGTGAGGGCTGCACTTTGGATGGTGTTGCTTGGACTATTCCCAATGATGTGTTTGGAGTTGTATGAAAAGAATTAATGCTGGCAACCTTATTTGTTTCATACACTAGCAAAGGAGTGGGACAAAATGTACCATCAGTATGCCATTCAGAACACATTAGAAGGCACATGATTACAGTAATTACAATTAAAAAGTTTACCAATGCCAATAATTATCATTTCCATTATCATTGACTTGGCTTTCAATAATACCTTGAGGTAAGGTCAAGAACTGTCCTTTGATAGAAAAAAATAAAGGTCACATCAACTTAGGAGTTTTGTCATGAAAAGAATCTTTAGCTCAAAACACACCAAGTACTACCTGTGGTCCCACTGTCAATCATTCCCTCCTACTATGTTATGAATCTTAAGGATGTTTTTCATTTCACTCAGCTGGTGCTTGCTCAGACTTCATTTCTCTTTCTCCTTGTCTTTCCCCTGCTCATCTGGAAGCACTGGCATCTTTGGTGCTTAGAATGTAACAGGAATGTTGCTGCCTGAAAGTTCCACATTTGTCATTCATTCTGCCTGAAACAGGTGTACCAAGTTTGCTGCATGAACAGTTCCCCTTTCTAGCTTTTTACCTAAATCTTACTCTATCAGTTCTTCCATACACCTTCCTCTCCACCCTAATATAAACCTCTTTTCCTATGGAAATTCTTACCTTTTTCATCATGACTACCTCAATAACTACTTAGAACTGTGCTTTGCATCTAGCGAGCATGAACCAAGTCTTGGTGCAATAAATCTATATTTCAAATAGCCCTGTTCCTACTGTTAGTGGAAAGGATGCCAGTCACATAAGGAGAGGAAGTGAATGACTAAACTGTGCCTTTATTACTTAATGGACAAAATTATCTTCTATGAAAATGCCTTCACTGTGGTACCAAACAGAATATAATACTAACTAAACTTTGGATCGCTTTTTCCATCTAATGCATTATGACTTTCAGATTAATACACTGAGAAGCTAAAAGAAAAATGCCCAAGGATTAACTAGGAAGATGTGACTAATGAGTGAGTTTCTGGTTTTGACCAAAATTGTCTAAGGCTTTATGACCTTCTTACCTTCTGAAGAGGAAAGCCTTCCTACACCACAGTCATAATATAGACACTGAGCAAACCAAGAGTTTACCCAAACAAGTTGGATAAATTATTATAATGCAACACTACCTTCTTTTGTTTCTGGTCCACTCTGTGGCATGAATTCATGAATACTTTGACTTACATACCTGGAAGAGAAATCTCTTGAAACACACTGAAGAATAAACATACTTTACACATTAGAATTTTTAACTAACTCTCAAAAAAGAATAAATTGCCAACAATGCTAAGTCTGTTAGGGTGAGGACAAATTGCTTAGGGCCATGGTAAGTAAATGAAATATTTATTGTCTTTAAGAATACTAATTCTTTCAAATAAAGATAAACATTGAACATTTTTGTGAAACCCAATGGAGCTGCATTTTAGCACAATAACAACCATCCCTCCATTTGACAGGACAGAATAATGGCTTCCCAAATTCAAACATCTTTCATTTATGGTTTATGTTAAAGGCCTAAGACCTAGTTGCAGGTACTATATGTTAGTGGAACTAATATCTTTCTTGTACTAGTTACCTGAAACCACTAGTGATGTCCAGATTTAAAATTAACAGCAAGGAGATTGAAGGGGAAAGATAGAAAACCACTTATATAACAACTTGCTTTTAAAAACACTGGGGCAGTCAACCTCATCTGCCTAATACTGCTAGAATTCTCTTAAGGAAATGTATTAAAATGATAAGCAAAGAAATGCAAATCACTTTTAGTTTTACAAATTCCTATTAAATTGCAAGTTAAGCAATGAATAACCAAAGACAAAAATGTAAAACAAATAAAAAATTTGTTGTTATTATTATTTCTGAAGCCTAGAAAAGAACCATTGATATGGATTCCAAATAGCTTCTGAAGGAAGACGAAGAAAACATGAGAACATATGTCAAGTAACTTTCTGTACAGTAACAGTATCTAAGGTATGTAGTCAAAGCCAGTAAGCACTTTCACTTTGCAGTTTACAGATATATATTCTGAAGGTACAGAGAAATTGCTTAAAGTTTATAATTCAAGAAAAAAAGTACAAAATAAAAGAAGTGTGGAATTAAGTCTGAAAGATTCAAGGCCAGTATTTTGAGACTCTTTCAACATACTCACAAAATTTTAAAAAACAAGAACCATTCATCTTTTATACAACATGATATTGTAGATCATTAAAAGAAATTATACATGCAATTCACATCACTATCACCTCCAGGACAACATTTAGCTTACCTAGAATCTGTCTCTGACTGGCCACTTACAAGAATAGGAAGAGATGGCTGGCTGGCAGTTGGGATCATCAAAGCTTCAGTAACAGCATTTACCATAAGAGGAACAGAAGGTGGCTCCTGTGGTTTCTCTCCTGAGTTCTCTGAGGTCTGCTGATTGATGGAGGGAAGGTTTGGAACCCTCAGTTCCTGCAGGGAGCACGTATTCCGTTCTATGCATACTGGAATAACCTTTCATGTTAATCAAAAGGATACAAAACAAAACAAAACTTGGAAGTCTTGAATATTACCAATCAGTCATTAGAGCTTTTCAAAGCACAGCAACAACAACAACAAAACACTAGCCTCTATTAAGGCTTCTTGTAGCTTCTTAAACAGTCACACCAAAAGCTTATATTTAAATTTTCCTTATTGTTATTTATGTGTGTGTAGGTGCATACATATGTAAGTCAGGGAACAACTTTTAGAAGCTTGTTCCCTCTTATTTGTTGTGCCAATGTCTCTCACAAGCATCCAGGCAATCTCCCTGTCTCTGCCTCTCAGCTCATGGTATGAGAGTTGGGACTGCAGATGTGCGCCACTATATCTGGCTTTTTTTTAAAAACGTGTTGCTGGGATCAAACTCAAGTCATATGGCTTGTACAGCAAACGCCTTTATTGGCTGAGCTATCGCTACAGCCCAGCATCTTATACTTTAAACCACTGAAAAATAAATTGGATTCTATAATAATATCAGTATTTATGAAGTAGCTCAGTTGGACATAGCGGCTCCTGGAAGTCTTGACACATAGGACTGCAGTGAGGCTGAGACAAGTCTGGCTATCTAGGCCAGTCTAGATAAGTGTGAAACTGTCCAATAAAACAAAAACAAGAACAGAGGAGTGAGAAACAATGCATGTTAGATCAAAGCGGAAAGAAAACTACAAGGAGCAAAAGAATACATGGTAAAGCGAGGGTCACAGAAAGGAAAAGGAGGATCAAGAAAAACAAAGTATGACAATGTCATAATGAAACCCATTACTTCATATGTTAAATTATAAAAAAAGACAGTTGAATCACAAAGCAAACTCTTTACTTAATTTTGGGAAAAGACTAAAATTAATGTTATCAAATATTCCTCACAGTGCTCTACTCAAATCTTCTTTGTATCTATTTTCTATTTAATGAATAGGATACATTTATATTAATTTCCACAAAGGCACATGGTCCACAATAGGAAGAATAAACAAACTCTTAGAATATCAGCTTTTCACCGGGCATTGGTGGCACACGCGTTTAATCCCAGCACTCAGGAGGCAGAGGCAGGAGGATCTCTGTGAGTTCGAGGCCAGCCTGGTCTCCAGAGTGAGTGCCAGGATAGGCTCCAAAGCTACACAGAGAAACCCTGTCTCTTAAAAAAAAAAAAAAAAAAAGAAGGTATATAAGCTTTTCTATTTACAAAGAAATAGAATGTAATAAAAGACAGAAAGGCTAATTCCTTATCTTACGGAAGCATTCTTACAAATTCTAAGAGTTAACTTTAGCTGGATATGGTGGTATATGCCATTAATCACAGCTCTTTAGATGCAGAAGCAGGGGCATCTCTGTCAGTTCAAGGTCCATCTGGTTCACGTAGCAAGTTCCAGGTCAGCCAGGGCTACATACTAAGAATCTGTCTCAAAACCAAAACAAAAAATCCAAAAGCAGTAACTTAAATGATCTATACTAATGCCTTACCTAGCAAGATAGTAAAGAGTAAAAACAGTCACGGCACAGAATAATTACCCCATTAGAAGTACCACAGACCTCAGGGTTTCTCGTACTTTGGGAGTCTACAGAGACTTGATTGAGCTAAGCATTTCCACCCTGTCTCTGTATTTCTTGCTCATTCCATTTTTGTTATTTGTTGTTGTTTTGTTTTTTGAGACAGGGTTTTTCTGTATAGTCTTGGCTGTCCTATAACTTGCTCTGTAGACCAGGCTGGCCCTGAATCCACAGAGATCTGCCTGTCTCTGCCTCCCAAGTCCTGAGATTAAAAGGGTGCGCCACCAGTCTGGCTCATTCCAAATTTTATACATCTTTCTGTATCAAATTATTTTAAAATTCAGTAAGATTCCTAGCTAAATTAGAATAACTATAAAAACAGGGCAGAGTAGCATTAGGGATAAACTATAGCAGTGAAGAACGTGGACATACGTCAGGCTTGTTCTGGGAAGCAGGCAGGTCCTTCTTGTAAGACAACTCTACCACTTGATGCAATTTCTTGTGAAGTTCATCCATTTTCTGTTTTAAGAGTTGCTCTTCGAAAGCATTTGCTTCTTTCCTTTTCATATAGTGTCTGTCTTCACTAACTTTAAGAAACATTAAAAAAGCATGGTTTGCTCTCAGAGTTTCATCAGAGTATTGCATGGAAAATGAGCAAAAGGTCACAATTTAGGATATATTTTTTTTAATTTATTTATTATGAATACAACATTCTGCTTCCATGTATATCTGCACACCAGAAGAGGGCACCAGATCTCATTACAGATGGTTGTGAGCCACCATGTGGTTGCTGGGAATTGAACTCAGGACCTCTGGAAGAGCAGTCGGTGCTCTTAACCTCTGAGCCATCTCTCCAGCCCCCTAGGATAGATATTTTTAAATCAAAATTTTCCATATTTTTTTCGATTTTAGAACTGAAACTTATATTACCTTTTAATTATTACCTGTCCTCATCATGGTTACTATTAAACATAGGTCACATGTTATAACATAATTTTAAAAAACCTGTTATGTGATCAATAATATTCAGCAATGATAGTCTAACACTAAACCCTTCTTCAAAGAGCCTTAGGAGGCATCCCTTAGTTTTGTTGTCACTGGCCTGGAGTTAATCAAATGGTCTAGGCTGCTTCTGCTATCCCACTTGTCTTTTTAATGTGGTTCCTGGGAATCAAACACACATCCTCATTACTGCATGACACATACTTTACTAACTGAGCTGTCTTCCTACCCCCAGTATCACCCACTTCAGATTTTTAAAAATGTAATTCTAGGTACTTTTCAAAAAAAATATTAAAGTATGAAAAGGCACAAGTCTCAAGCAAGGTATATATGTGGAGGTCAGAAGACAACTTGTTGGTTTTCCCGTCCTACCACGTGGGTCTTAGGGTCAGAACTCAGGTAGTCATACTTGGTGGCTTTTGAGTTTTTCAAATTGTGTGTGTGTGTGTGGGTGTGTGTGTGTGTGTGTGTGTGTGTGTGTGTGTGAGAGAGAGAGAAGAGAGAGAGAGAGAGGGAGAGAGAGAGAGAGAGAGAGAGAGAGAAATGTACATGTATGTGATGGTGCTTACAGAGCTAGAGGTGTTGGATCCCCTGGAGCTGGGTGGTATAGGGTGTTGTAAGTCACCTGACATGGGCATTGATCACTGAACTCAGGTCCTTTGCAAAAGCACCACCAGCTCTTGTGGATCACCTTTACAATTCTAGCTCTTTAGGAAATAAAGTGTGCTAGGGTCAGAGTTTCAAGCAAAACTTTGGATAGTTCTATGTCTACTAAATATCAAATATGGGTACACTCCAAACAAATCACTTTGTCTAGAGACTACAGTTTTGGTACATGAAGTAAACTACCCATGGACAATTCAAAATGGGTCCTCCACAAATATTAATTGACTTTTCTCTATGGTTGGTTAAATATAAAAATAATGAACACGGGGGCTAGAGAGATGGCTTAGCAGTTAACAGAGCTTGTTGCTCTTGCAAAGTTCAGTTCAGTACCTGGTACCTGCATCAGACAGTTCACAAACTACCTCTTCTGGCCTCTGAGGACACTGTGCTCATATGCACAAACCCACACTCACATAACTTTAAATAATAAAATCTTCAAAAAGGTAATGAGCAAAAGGCTCCCATAGTAGATCTTGTCCAAATAACCTAGAGGGCATAAAACCCTGAGTGGAACAAAGGTTCATTTTCCTCTCTCCAAGGTGCACATTTCTTGGCATGCTGATCAGAAGACTACTTCTGCAGGCTTTGTTTAAAGTATATGCAAACTTGGAAAAATCTCTTCTGATTTCAGTTCTCAATTAAATCCTTTCACACAACAAATAAATGCTCTAAAATTTAGGACTACTGCATAAAGAGGTTCAAATTCACATAGATCGAAACACTATACAATTCACTAATGCAAAGGCAACACCAGAAAGGATGTTTACTATAGCGCTGTTTTAACTGTCAGCTGTGTTCTCAGCTTAGCAGTGAAGCCTGTGGACAAGCGTTGCTGCTACGCTACTGTCTAACAAAGACTTCTAGGCTTCTGATAGAAGGAGCTCAAGACATTCTCTTGTCTTTCATTCAATTATGTGATTACTCATCATTAAAAAGACACAAAAATAAAGAAGCTGTAAGAGTGCAAATACCCCATTGTTCATGCTTCCTCCGTTGATTGTATTTCTGGGCTCTTAGTTCTTCGAAGGAAAATTCTGAATCCCCACGAATAAGCTTTTCCTTGCAGTACATAACAACCTGCTGAGAGTTAGCTTTGGGTGCCACAGATGAGCTCACAGAGCATTCTGATTTGGAAATCATGATCACTCTTTGTTCCTGACTGGGGAGAAAGACACCATTTACAACAGTGTACTAAAGTAACTTGAAGGAAACTTAAGTGATAATGTATTCATTGTACTTACATATTAGACCCTTTGTCACAAGCGGAAGGTATCACATCAGAACATTCTGAGCCCTAAAAGACAGAAAACAATTACTTACCAAAGAGAAACCTTCACACAAATTACTTCACAATTAATTGGAAAATGCTCCATGGGAAGGGGCCTCTTAATCTCAAGTAGATTTACATGTTTATATAAATTATGATTAGCTAGAGCTTTAGTTAGCATTAACTTTCCAAACAGAGGTCCCCCAAAAGAAAACATTTAATTTAAATTTAAGAAATTAAAATTTCCTTCTGGTATTGCTTTACTTGCAGAAGTTCCTAAAAGTGGCAATAACCCACTAAATAAATATTTATTGATATTTCACAAGTATCAACAATGAGCTAGATCTGGGGAATATGACCAGAAATAACACCCATTTTATCTGTCTAAAAATTTATAGTAGAAAGAATGAGGATAGAAAACATTGTAAGATATATATTCGGACAATCTGTCAAAGTTAGACATGCACGCTCTACACCTAGGAATGTGTTGCATTAGTAAAACAGATGTCTTCACATTGGATTAAGCTATAAGAAGGTCCAAAGACAAAGATGCTAAGAAACATGAAGCTGAAGAGGAGATCTGAGTATTTTTTATGTTTATAAACAGGCAAGGCAGAAGAGCTTTAGATGGGTGAAAAATATTTATGGGGATGAAAAGTAGGCACAGGTAGGAAGCTACCTTTTCCCATGCAAACAGCAGAGAAAGATGCAGCTACTTATATTATGGTTGGTAGCAGAAAATGAGAAGGTGTCTTCTGTTACGTTGCAGAAATAGTATTTCTTTTTTATGGCTGAGAGTGAGATATACACATCCCAAATTTTAGGACAATGAAGTTTAAAATCACAATAATTTGGTATTAAAGAATTGACTAGTAAATATGTGAGACATATAATATTAAGAGTGATGTGGAACACAGGGAAGAAATGCCTGAAAGTCCTAGATCTCTGGTTGAGGTTATGTGTATAAATGCATAAATGTTTGAGGTTCTGGGTTTCTTTTATAAAGCTGAGCTCAAAAAACACCAAATGTGATCCAAAATAGGGATTTCCTGGGCCTACAAAGATGCCAGCAGAAAACATAGAGAATAGGAAGTAAGACGCTGCAGACAGGCAGTCCTTAGGTCTGACAAGTTATTGAGCAGAGATAGAGGATGAAAAGGCTGCCATGGAATGGTGGCTGAAATGGAGATCAGTTATAGGAGACAGGGTTAATGGAATAAGATGCAAAGATAGATATAAAGACAGCCAGAATGGCTGTCTAATAACATCCAATACAACATACAAATAAATGTCCTTGTTACCAGACTCTTAGGAACATAGGCTGAGTTTTGTCCTGGACTTGACTTTGTTGTCACAACGTGGTTTAAAATCTGTGCACTATGCATAGCTTCTGAGGTTGCAGCTATGAGAGAAAAGAAAATGAAATAAGTGAAAAGTATCATTAAATCAAATTAGCATATAATACATTCCACTGTTCTTTCAGTATATTGTATTTAAAAAATCTATTTGGAGCTGGAGAGAGAGCTCAGCAGTTAAGAGCCTTTGTTCTTATGGAGGATTGAGGTATAATTCCCAGCATCCACATGGTGGCTCACATCCATAACTCTAGGTCTAGGGGATGTGATGCCCTCTTCTGACTTATATGGGCACTAGGTATGTATGCAGTGCAGACACATGCAATCAAAACATACATACATATAAAATATCTGACACATAAATACAAAAATTACTTTAGAAATAAGCCCATTTTAAACTTTCAGAAAATGGACTAATTTTCAGTTCAGAAAAATATTAGAGAAACAGTTTTCTAAACAACTCGAGAAGTTAAGGTAATACCTGGATGGATTATAAAGCCTAAGTGGTTATTTTAAACAAGATGACAGTGACTTGTTGAAATGGTATCTTTATTTCTAAGTGAAAAGAAAAGGCCATGTTTTTAAAAGTCACATTACACCTATTTGATTTAATTTGGAACAGATGGGGAGTCCAGCAAATCCTCTCTTTGGGACAATCTTTTTTACGACAGTATACTGTATGTAGCTGTGGCTCAAAACTTATGTTCCTTCTATGTTAGCCTTCCTTCTGAAACTGGGATTACAGGTGTGTGCCACTATACTATATCTAGATATTGGCTTATTATTTTTTGAGGTAAATTCATTAAGCTATGCTTTCAGGTTTGCTCTATTACAGTGCTAAGACACAGCTCCCCTGTTATCCAGAGCTGTTTTAAGAGATTATTATGAGAGTGCTTTCCTATTACCCAGAACAATAATTTGGTTTTCATTAAATATTACATGAGGCCTTTTTTATAACAAACAAAACGAAAAACACGTAATGCAAATTACAGTCTAAAATTTTCAACAATCTAGACATATTTTTAAAAAGTTATCATTTTACCTTGAGCTGGAAAATGGGTTCCAGTAATACGTGCCTGGAATAGACTAAATGATAATACAAAATACATAAATATAGATTTTAATCTTACAGTTTAATATACATATATTGAAATGGAAATTACGTATAACAGGCAATAAAGGCAGAAAAAGAAAAACTGAATTTCAAAGTTGCTTTAAACTTTAAAAATAATATTCTGGGAATATTTACATTAGAAAAGTCCTTTTTCATACAATTTACATCAATATTTTTCAAATTCACCTAGCACACACAACTTCTTTCTCCATGAATCAAGTCTGCAGATATTAAAATTCAAAAATGCTTCAACTACTATCTGAAATAAAATGACTACAATATTTCAAAGAAATCAAAATATAAACCTTAAACCACTGTTTCACAGGGCATGCTCTGTAAGAACTTCATATATACATCATTTCATAGCACTTTTACATATCAATTCGACCTTTTAAAAACTACGCAGTGCCGGTCATTGGTGGCGCATACCTTTAATCACAGCACTCAGGAGGCAGAGGCAGGCAGATCTCTGTGAGTTTGAAGCCAGCCTGGTCTATAGAGTGAGTTCCAGGACAGACTCTAAAGCAATTCAGAGAAACCATGTCTCGAAAAACCAAAATAAATAAATAAATAAATAAATAAATAAAAAAAAAACTGTGCAGCTCCCAAGCCTGACATTTGTGGGTAATGAAAGCCAAGAGTGTATACTGTATAGAGATACACAACTAAGCACTAAATGTTGTTTGATTCATAATTCAAACAAACCAGTGGTAACAAAACCATTTTACATGATGGTTTGAAAAGACACAAAATTAGATAATATTAAGGAATTACTGTTAACTTTATTAGGTGACATAGATTAAGTCTTTAGGTAACACTTTTAAAGAGGACTGCAGTGTTGTTTGAGAAAAAAGATTTTGTTGTCTAAAAATCTGTCAGTACAGGGACAGTGAGATGACACAGCAGGTAAAATGCTTCTGCCAGGCCTGACCACCAGAGTTCAACCTCCTCAGGAACCTCTGACCTCCACACACTTGCAGTGGTGTGCCCCCAAGCAAATAAGTTAAAAAGACAAACAAATATTAGTACAGAAAAAAAAAAAAAAGATTAAGGGGCTGAAGAGAAGGTTCAGAGGTTAAGAGCACTTGTTGCTCTTCTAAAGTACTCAGGTTTGATTCCCAAAACCTACATGGTTCAAACTGGATCGAATGCCCTCTTCTGGCCTCTGTGGGTATCAGACACACATCCAGTTCACATACATACATTCAGACAAACTATTATATATAGAAAAAAAAAAACAAACCTGTTAACAATAAAACATACTGATTTTTCTTTTTATGTATATTTTAAAATTCTCATAATAAAGTTTTTTTTAAGCACAAATACTATAGTAAAACTGAAAAAAAAACAGGTAAGTATATTTAATGCTAGTAAGGGGTGTAATGCACAGTAGGTCTTCAATTCTTCTAATGAGAATGCAGAAGAAAACCTTTGAATAGATTGGCTTGGTTGTATGTTCTACATGCCTTGAAACTCTTTAGACACACTTTTATTCATTTATTCCAATTCTAGATGTTATCAAAACTAGATAAATGTAAGAAACATATTAGCTTTAGGGCAAGATCTTGACATATAGTGTGTATATAGGTTGACTTTGTAAAGCATGTTTACAACCCTGTAATACTGCAAGAAAAACTTTTTTGCATTTTCAAGTTTTCCTAAATGAGGCATTTTTAATAATAGAAAAGTAACAGAACAAACATGTATTGGGGGGGGGAATTGATTGTATTCATTGATATGTACTGTTTACTATGGTTTGAATGGTTACCAAAACTCATGTTGAAACTCAATCCCCATTGTGAGGATTTATAAAATGTTATCTCCAGCTGGGCAGTGGTGGCGTACACCTTTAATCCCAGCACTTGGGAGGCAGAGGTAGGCGAATCTCTGTGAATTTGAGGCCATCTTGGTCTACAAAGCAAATTCCGGGACAGCCAGAGCTGTTACACAGAGAAACCCTGTCTTGAAATACCACACACACAAAAAGTTATCTCCAAATTGTGATTAGATCAAGAGAGTTCTGTCTTCATGAATGGACAATTCTATTCATGGCTTAATGGGTTATTCTGAGGGGACAATTTGTTCTGTTTCTTGTATGCACCCCCTTTTTTTGATGTGATCTTTACCTCACAATTCTACAGTCTAAAGTGACATTATAAAATGTCACACACTATCCTAAGAACAGTATAAAGCTCCATACCTGCATTCAGACCTACAATACACATACAGTATGATTCACAGTTAAGGTAGATATACACAAAAACACAAAGAAAAAGATGAGTTATACACGTTGACACTACCTGTATTGTTGTTGTAGTAGTTCTTTAGGTTCAGCCTGGTTTTGAATTCCTCTCCGAAAAACAGCACTGGCATGTTGCAACTCTCCCTGGGCTTCCAAATGCCCCGCCCAAGATATATAGAGAGGAGATGACTTGGTTCCAATTCCCTGGTTGTACAGAAACTCAAAAAACTGATGAAGATCACTGTTGTACTCAGCCTACAGAAACCCAGAGCAGAATCACACAAAAACAATGAGGCACAAAGAAATAGTTAATGGATATAGGGGGCAGCTAGATAGGGAGAATGAATTCTTTTTGTTTGTTTGTTTTTTGATTTTTGTTTTTTCGAGACAGGGTTTCTCTGTGTAGCTTTGGAGCCTATCCTGGCACTCGCTCTGGAGACCAGGCTGGCCTCGAACTCACAGAGATCCACCTGCCTCTGTCCCCCAAGTGCTGGGATTAAAGGTGTGCGCCACCAACGCCCGGTTGGGAGAATGACTTCTAATCTACACTAAGAAACTATGATTGATAATTTTATATTCCCAAATAGCTTATAGAGAGGGTTTTGATTTCAAACACATAAAAAAAGATAAATATTGGAGGCTATATACCAATTATTCAGATCACAAGGTTATACAGTGTTTAGATGTTACTCTATTCCATAATTATGGATAACGTTATACAAGAGACAACCAAACGGGTAGGCTAGGTCTGTCCCAGAACCTAGGAGCCCTACATTGTTTAGTCTTCATGAAAATCTAGGAATGTACTGTATAGGTAAAAACATATGTTGTTCTCAGATGGTGAATTTAAAATTAATCTCTTCCCGTGATATTCAAGGATTATGATAGTATTTCACAAAAAATAGTAGGGCCTATGATTCATTACATGAAATATTGCTTTGGTTTTAATCTAAGGATACTCAAGTTCCACAGGGTGCCTTTAATTATAGTATCTTATAATTTAGGGAACAATTTCAATTTCACTTTATCTATTCCATATGAATACTAGAATTCATAGCCTCAAGCTTTCATTTCAGATTAGACTGAAGAGTCCTGTCCTCTTTTTTTTTTAACAGTTGAATATATATATATATATATGTTGTTTGTTTGTTTTTTTGAGACAGGGTAGGGTTCTCTGTGAAACAGTCCTGACTGTCCTGGAACTCACTCTGTAGACCAGGCTGGCCTTGAACTCACAGAGATGCCTCTGTTTCCCAAATGCTGGGATTAAAGGCATGCACCACCATCATTTGGCCTTGGTAGCAATATTTTAATTAAAAACATGTTCCCACTAGGGGTTATTCTACCTGTACTGCATGATGTACAAATCTTAACTAGTTTTCAAATTCTTTTTAAAACGTGTTGTTTGTTATTTTATTATTTACAACATTTTTTAAATATAAATATATTTTGATCATATTCTTCCCCTCCCCCAAGTCCTTCCAGATCTCTCCTCCTCCCTACTCACCCAACTTTAAGTTCTTTCTCAAGAAACAAAACAAAAACCCAATACAAAACACCCAAACCTAGAAAACAAAATTCATCAATGCCCAAAAAGAAAGAACAAAAAAGGGAAAAAAAGAACAACAACAACAAAAAAAACCCCAAACTGTAACCAAATAAAAGCATACAAAAAACTGAGAAGTCCATTATTTGTTGGTTAATTACTCCTGAACATGAGACCTGACATTCCACATTGAAGTTGGACAAGACAAACCAAGAAAAGGCGCAAGAGTCAGAGACCTACTTGTTCGAACACTCAGGAATCCCATAAAAACACTAATACTGGATGCCATAATATAAACATAGAGAGAGAGTCCTACCCTATTAAAGCCTGAGACTGCCTTCTCCTTCTCCTTTTAGTACTGTATTTAGTCTATGAAGTAAAACTCCCAGAGACCTTAGCATCTAAGAGCTTCTGCTTATTTTCTTTCTCTCAAGCACATTTCTTCCATTTCTTTCTTCCTTCCTTCCTTCGAGACAAGAGTCTCAATACATAGTGTTGGCTGGCCTAGAACTCACTGTGCAGACCAGTCTAGCCTCAACTCACAGAGATCTGCTTGCCTCTCTCTTCCAAGAGCTGGGATTAAAGGTGTTAGCCACCACAACTGGCTTCCATCACATTTCATAAGCAGCAATTCATTTAACGTTTTGTTACTATCTCATGTTGGAATGTATGTATACAAAATAAAGAGGAGTTTTAAAATTAAATCACTGATTCCTCAATATTTCAGAAGCTAAGGCTCTAAAATACATACCTTTGACTATATAACTTCTAAAAAATTCATGACTATAAACAAGATATTGATATGAAAATGCAGTCTAAAATGATCTTAACAAGGGAAGGGGACCAAAAGTAAAACATTGTATTTAGTTATCTACCTGAAATTATACTCACAAAGTTTAAGCAATAATGGATGAATCTTGAGTCATCATGGTACCTCTTCTTATCTAAAAATTCCTTTATTAAATTTTGCAATAATGTCATCAAGTATTCTTTATTGTCAGGAAAATTCTCTTCTACCCACTTCATAAAGCTGGAAAAACACGGATATTAGTTTTCCACATGGTAGCATATGGTTCCCTTGTTTGAAGGAAAATAAACAAACAAATGCACACTAACCTTTCCCATTCTCCAAGCGGGTCATTACCCTGGTAGCTTTGCATATGTGCTTCAAACATGCTAGAACAGAAAAGTACATACATGAGAGATTAGGACTAATTCCTAGAAGCCAAAGATACATTAGATCGTACATTATGTCATCTACATGCTTGAAGGAAATCTTGAATATCAACCCAAGCATCACAGAAAAGAACAATCATTCAGAGGTATTCAGAAAAATCAGAAGCAGTATTTGCCCCCAGGTCTATCTAGATTCGCTAGTCTCCAATGTCACTGCCACCCAGTGGGACTGAGATAGGTCTATTCTGGTCCTCCCCCTTACTTCTCAGGAGCATAGGTAAGATAGAGGATTAGAGTAAGGGTCAAAGAAAGGCTCTCCTTTAGTGTGACCCCAGAGATAGTTTGCTTGAGCCCAAAACTAACATTGACCCAGAGGAAAAGCATATGACAGTGCTGGTAAATACCCATAGAGCACCTAGAGTACTTTGCTTTCCTGACTTCCATAACACCCAACCACAGCTTAAGAAGTCAGGCAAACAAATTAAATTCCAATGACCTTAGATGCTAGTGCGATAAACAGACAAAAAACATAATTAGGGCCATTTTACATGGAATAAAAGGAAAGGGGGGGGCAGACTTAAGAGTACTAGTACTCGTAGGGCAAAGGCTATCTTTAAGGGTGTGACATGTGCTACATAGCTAAGACAGCCATGTGAGGGAAATTATCAAGGCTGACAAACTTGAGGAACAAAGTCGAAGTACCAGGTGTGCCGAGCACAAGAGGTGGCAAGTTCTATCTGCATTTTAAAACGTCTTTGTTTTTTTTCCCCCTCAGAAAGGAATAGGGATGGAAGCACAAGTAGGAATCAGGAAGCTATAGCAGAGTCCTTGTGGGTAGTACTCAGGACGGGGGGTGAGAATGGTCCCTGTACAATTTCAGAGGCAGGGAGTATGGGAATTAACTGTATTCTGAGTACAAATCAAGTTGGAAAACAATCATAGGTTTTTAAACTGAGGAATGATAAGATTGGGGGGAAGAATTTTAAAGCAATATTTTTTCAGAAATGACCAGAAAAATCAACCTCAATATAATTCATTGGCATACTGAGATGGTTATTCAGAGAAACTACAGACAATAATGGCTTTTTCATAATTTCGTGGACAGTAATAAAAATTTTAGCAATTTTAGTATTTTTTAACATTAAATCAAGGGATTTCACTTAAAAGGAACACATTTCGGATTCTTTTCGGCATGTCTAAATTGCCAGCACTACTTTTGTCTTTTGAAGTTCTTATTTAGCAAAATAAGAATACAACTATTTGTCCAAAGTAAACATTTTTTAATAGCCTCACACCAACCTTACTACCTGGGAAAGGGGCTTTCAAAAGAGAATATTTAGTAGATCTGATTAAAAATTAAGCTGCTTTACGACAACTCATTGGATTCCCAAAGGGCTGATAAAAATAAAATTTTATTTCCTATAACATGATTTAACGGTTTTAAATCACAGGATGGATGTCACTTTAAGCAAAAAAAAAAAAAAAAAAGAAAGAAAAAGAAAAAAAGAGACAGAAACAAATGACTCAACAACAAGCATTTTTCTCCCATAAAGTTCAGCTTCAGGTTTGTTTGTTTGTTTGTTTGTTTTTGACATACCAAGTGAGAGAGAAATAGTAAATTCTTTCCCTAGTTGACTAGCGTTTTTATTAAGAGACTGAAATTTTCTCCTCAAACCTCCACCACCTCACAAGGTTTGGGGATTTGAAGGCGGGCCGTCTGTTTCGAGGGAAGACGCTGGACTTCTGAAGGTCCTGCAAGCTGCCCAAATCCCAGCCCACCAGAAGGCAGCGGGAGGCAGCTGGCCGCTCCCACTCGAGCGACCCGGGGACGGCCGCCTGGGCTGAGACGAGGTGAAGATCTCCCAAGGACGCCCGCTGAGGAGAAAGCCCGGCTGAGGGACCGGGACTCAACCGCCCTGGCCGGCCCTCAGCTCGGCTCGCGCCCTCACTCCATCTGAGGGACACTTACCGAAAGGCATTTTCTAGGCTGTCCATGACGAGAGGAAGCGCACGGCGGCGAAACACGGAACTCAGCCGCCGCCACTAGTCTCCAACTCCGAGGCCGATTCGAATGCCCCGCGCAGCCGCAGTCATACGCCGAGCGTTGGCAGAACGCCTGATCATTGGCCGCTGCTAAGGGAGAGCCGACCAATCGCCGGGGCCGTTGCTAGGAGACGAAGTCCCGCCTCCCCAGCACCGGCAGTTCCTCCCACTTCCACCTAGCCTTCTGGTGAACCTTACTTTTTAGGTGCTGTTTCCGTTCTGGTGAGACGCAGACCGTTTTAATACAGGGGTTATTGTTGTTATTTTAAAGACAATATAAATTGAAACTGGGCTACAAAATTACACTACCAGGCTGAACTTGACGACTCTGTGGCACGAACTGCTTTGAGCCTTCTTGGATCCTGAGAGTCGCGAATCTTTGCTTAAATAACAGAGATTGCTTAGCTGGTAAAGGCTCTTGCCACCACAGCTGACATTCCCCGGAATCCACAAGGTAACAGGAAAGCAAACCGACTTCCTCAAGTTGCCCTCGGATCTTCACATGCATGCTGTGGCACATACTCAAATTAACAAATGAGGAGACGGTCATCATGCACATAAACGCACACAGTCATACACCCACACATATGCATAAAAATAAATAATTTTTATAAGAGTCCAGATATCCAAGAATAAATACATAACATGTTCATGTGCCCTAAGAGTGAGTTGAGAAATCGTCTAGTCTTCTCTGCTTCTTGAGTTTTGATAACTTCCCACTTTGCCTCTCAAGGCTCACTTGACCAAAGCAAGTAGAACACAAAAAGCTCATGTGATTACCTTCCTGTGTCTAGTGGTCCACCGAGTGTTACAGCTCCCTTAAGTTGCTAAAGGTATATTGCAGCTCTGGACAGGTAGACGTTTCTTAATTTAGAGAAAAAAAATTAAGTGTGATCTTCCATGTGATTTCTTAAAGTCATCTAACTAGAGAAATAGTTCTGAAATCTTTTTATAACTTGGCATTAACATATTGCCCATAATCATGGTTATTGGCAGACATCAGAATATGGTAAGCACTACTAGGGGGAGTTCCAGGTTCTTGTGGTCCATGTGGAAAGTAGCAAGCAGAATAAAAGTTTAAGAATACACGTCCCAATCCCAGCACTCAGGAGGCAGAGGCTTGGAGATCTCTGTGAGTTCAAAGCCAGCCTGCTCTACAGAGCAAGTTCTAGGACAGCCAAGGTCACACAGAAACCCAAGCTCGAAAAACAAAACAAACAAACAAAACATACACTTTCCAAAGGAAAGAGCAGAGAAAAAGCTTAGAAGCTCAATGAAGGCTGTACAAAGGAGTGGGGCTTCCATGTCACATTCTCTGGGCTTTTGGGTCATTTTCATAGCATGAAATTTCATGTGCATGCTCTGTTACATGTAGTTGTCTTTATAAATCCATGCATGACATGTGCCATTAGCATTTTAGTGTTACAGTGTTACTACCTTCAGGCACTCGGGGGTTCAGTGCCAGTAGCTCTGGACAGTTCTAGCTGGCCTCAGCCTAGCAGTTTCCAGCCATCCTTTTTGCCAACAGGTTGTCCTCAGATACCACTTTAGTAGCCTTTGTGTAAGACCTTCTGGACTTTAACTCTTTTGCCTGAGTCAGAAGCTCACTCTTTAGTTTGTCTTCTTGGGACCAAAGGAAAGGCCAGAGGAGAGGTAAAGTGAACCTGAGTTACCTATGGACATGCCTACTAGATGTTTAGTTTGGATATATGTAGTGTCCATTTTCTTGTATTTTACCCAAGTGTTCTTTGTGTTGAACTGAGGATATCTCTGAACAAAAGTTTCTAGTTAAGATAAGAGTGGAAATCTGTGATGGCCTTAGTTTATCATAGAGTAGACATTTGTGCTTTCCTATTCAGAATCTTGTTTTACATGTGCTGAGAGGTCTAGGGGCACTGTAAAACATGTGGCTGAGTATGACTGCTCAAAATTAACCAAGACCTGCCACCACAGAGCTGCTGCTCTTTAAACCATGCCTCCAATCAAACATCTACCAATCAAAACTGTCCTCATGACATGGTGGGAATCTCCAAAGAGCAGATCTATATACAAACAGCCATGGGTAACCCTGCTTCTTTGCACATTGCTACCTTGTAGTTTCCTTAAAGGAAACCTGCCCACTCAATAAACTTGTCATTCCTGAAGATACTATTGTGGCTGTTTCAGAAGTCTGTCCCTCCCCTCTCTCTGGACGTTCGTCTAGAATTTGGGATAAGAGGTTCCAATAAGTAAAAAATGTTCAAGGTTTCCCTTTGTTCACCCCAAAGCAATACCATAAAGGAAAGCTGTAATTTCTGTCTATTTTGTTCTACATAGCAGCTTTTTTGTCCCACTCCAAATTTTGCCATTTTTGATACCTCAAGTTTCTGAACAATGGCCAGAGACTACTCCATTTGAGGATACCCCCTGCAGTGTCCTCATCTAAAAAGAAGGCACTGTCTGGATATGCTCCAGTATGTCTTTGAGCTCATGGCTCTACTATGGTTTTATGATTTCTAAGATTCACACACTGAAATGCTGAGGACAGGCTGTACCTTGCTACAGAACCACAGCCCTGAGTTGCAATGTTCATGCCCTGGGGCTTCCGTAAAAGCAGCATTCATTAATGAGGCCCCCAAGTCAGTCCCATAGTGTGTAACTCAGTTATGTAAGACCTGGATAGGGTGTTCAGGAGGCTACCAAGTGCAATAACATTGCTGGTATTCATTTGTAGAAACAGCTTAAAGGAAAACTGCCCACCAAATGCATATGGCTGTGCCATAACCCACCATCAACCACTGCATATGGGAATGTCCTCTAAATGATCTTGTTGTGTTGGGGGGGGTGTCAGTTTGCTGTTCCTGCCAGGGTCAAGAGGCCAGGTACAATGCAGAGAGAAGCCAGAAACAGTTTTAACGCCTTGCTCTTGTACTGAAGACCTGGACAGCTCTTGGGGTCTAATCCAGATGCCATCTTCGGTCTACTAGAGACCAGTTCATTCTTCTGCAAGGCCGATTATTGTTGGCTTCCTTCACTCCAGCTTTTCTCTTCAGGTCTTCATCTGGTATCTGTCATGGGAGAGATTTCTGGGACTGCCTCAGGAGTAACTGGACCATCTGCTCTGCTGCCTCTGACCTGTCCTATCCTACTGAAGGCACTGAAGGACGCCCAGTCCCAGCTGAGTACTTTTTGGGTACTCTTTGTAGAGCGATCAAGAGGCTCTTCAGAGTTTTGGAGAGGGTAGCATCTTGGTCCAACTGTGCTGCCTGTCAGATTGGAGGCTTTTCAGGAAAAGGAGAGGACTGGGGAGGATCTTGGAAGGCAAGAAAGGTGGCTTTCAAAACCAACTCTTAGGAGGCTGCTGGATGGGATGGCAGAGTAGGCACCACCTCCACATTAGACCCATATAGCCATAGCAGTAGGATGTATCCTCACAGAGGTTCCTGTCACACACTCAACTGCATTTGATTGGTTAGCAGTGGGTAGCTTACCCATACAAAGCCAATCAAAGTCCTAGAACTGTTGCTACACCTAGAAATGAGGGGGAAGTCAAGGTAGTTTCTTTTTTTCTTCTTCCCCTCCTCCCCCCCCCCTCTCTCTCTCTCTCTCTCTGGTTTTTCCAGACAAGGTTTCTCTGTGTAGCCCTGGATGTTCTGGAACTCACTCTGTAGACCAGACTAGCCAGGAACTCACAGAGATCCACCTGCCTCTGCCTCCCAAAGAGTGCTGGGATTAAAGGAGTGTGCCACTACTGTCTGGCAAAGGTAGTTTTTTTATGGTTGGAGCTGAGAAATATTAAGTTTGGGGGCCTGTTGATCTCTGTAGTTCCTACTTATGGATGGGCTTTGGTCTGCCCTGAGAATGGAGAAAGAAGACAGGGAGAGACAGTGATAGAGAGAGGGAGGAAAAGAGAAAGGAAAGATTACAAATATAGACACACAGAGAGAGTTGAAGCAGCTAGTTCCAGTGGTTTGTGATGCTCTTCACACCAATGACCTTCTCTAGTTATGCTCAAGTGTTCCTCGAGTTTTGTGAATCGAAGTGTTTGCAGTTTGCTGAAGAGAATTCAAACAGGTTTTCACCAGCCAGATATATAGGAAGCAGGACATGAACATGCTGTGCTGAAAAAGAGTATAGATAAGAAATATGGGTTGATTTAATATGTAAGAGCTAGTTAGTAACAAACCTAAGCTATAGGCTGAGCAATTATAATTAATAGTAAGTCTTTATTTGGGAGCCCATGGTCCTGAGGAAAGACTCCACCAACATGGGGTGAGGTCACATATATCCACATAAAACCTAAAAATTCTTAAGAAAAGGCTCCAAACACACAAAACCAGAGTCAAACACAGATTCTTAGTCTCACAGTCTCTCACACAGCTGCCTCAAGAGTTGGGCCCACATTGTGGCAAGAGCCCCCCTAGCACACCGTGGAGTAAGCTGTGTGGCAGGGTTAAGGTTTTGCTCATGCGAATAGAAAAGCCTTTACATGGTTAAGACAGATCCAGATTGGGGAAAAAAACTCTTAATATGTTAGTGTGTTTAAAAATGCACATAAGCTTGGGAAAGAAAAGAGAAAGGATATAGACAGTCATAGAAAAAAATAATTAAAAAATAATGAAGTCTTTAAAGAAAGAAGTAACACTAAAAAAAAAAAAATAAGCCATGTAGAAATGGAAAATACTCAGGGAGTCTGTCTGGATCTTCTATTTTATTGTACTGTCTTTAATCTATCAGCTACTAAGAGACACTGGATTATGGACACTAATGGATTAAACCATCCTAAATATGCATACACAGAGATGAGTACACACACACACACACACACACAGACACACACACACACACACACACACACACACACTTTTCTGACTGTTTGGAGGAAGTTGTGCCACTAAACACTTTAATTTGCTTTCAAACACAGAATAATCAATATTCACAGTGCTGTGATCAAAATCAGAAACCGACATTGGTACAGGTAATATTACACAGACTATCTTATTTATCTCAAGGTTTCAACAATCCACTGTGTAGTGGTGTAGGACCACTCACTTAGGGGGAAGAGGAGGTTTCTG